TCTGCAGATTAATATTTGTGACCCTGGACCACAAAACCTTCTTAAGTCGCTGTAGCGATAGCCAAAAATACATTGTATGGACCAAAATGACTGATTTTTCTTTTATGCCAAAAATCATTAGGACATTAAGTAAAGATCATGTTCCATAAATATATTTTGTAAATTTCCTACTGCAAATATATCAAAACGTAATTTTTGATTAGTAATGCGCATTGCTAAGAACTTCATTTGGACAACTTTAAAGGCAATTTTCTCAATATTTGGATTTTTTTGCACCCTCAGATTCCAGATTTTCAAATAGTTGTATCTCGATCGAAATATTGTCCTATCATAACAAACCATACATCAATGGAAATCTTATTTATTCAGCTTTCAGATGATGTATAAATCTCAATTTTTTTTAAAAATGGACCCTTATGACTGGTTTTGTGGTCCAGGGTCACATTTGTGAGCAGATGGATGACTTACTTGTCATTTGATGTTCCTGAGAGTAACACCCCTTCCTTTTGCTCCCCAAACAAATCAAGACATTCACCTCTAACTTGCAGCAGAGGCTGACAAATGCTCAATTTAAATGAGGAAGGTTCTTGCTGCAGAGTTTGCATTTCAGCATTATTATTATTAATAATAATTACATGCATCAATCTCAGCAAAGTTAAATGCTGTCCTTTTTTCTTCCCCAGTTGTGATTTTGATTCTTATTTTAAGTATATTTTTGAAAATGTGCTTTAATGTGCCTTGACTTATAATGACTATTTGTTCATTTACACATTTTAATGATTAATTGTGTAAATCAAGTTCAGTAAGTTGTCTGCCATTGATATGCACATCTAATATGCATTTCAATATGCATATGCATATCAATATGCATATCAAGTCTACTTAAAGGCAAGGCAAGGCAAGGCAAGTTTATTTATATAGCACATTTCATACACAATGGTAATTCAAAGTGCTTTACATAAAAGAAAAGAAAAAAATAATCACAACAATAAAACAAGGAATTTAAAAACTTTGAGAATGATTAAAAAATGTTGCCGAACTATTACTATTAAAGGAATAGTTCAGCTAAAATTCAGTGATTTACCCTCATTGTTTGAAACTTGTATGACTTTCATTCCTCTGTGGAACAAAAATGAAGATATTTTGAAAAATGTCTTTGCATTATTTTGTCTGTACATTAAAAGTCAGTGAGGTCCAATGTTGCGAAAGAACGCAAATAGAATTTCATTTTTAAGTGAAGTATTCCTTTAAAATCTGTTTGTGTTAGATATTATACTTTGTTTTTATTGGATCAGTAATAATTGTACACAAATTGAAATTTGGATAAGAAATTGAGACTGTGAGTATAAAGCCTGATGTATTATTATGTTCTCAGTTCAGGGGTGGATTTGCGACGTTAAAACAAGAAATGCTTTCCTCTGCTCTTTTTTTTTTTTTTTTTAGAAATAATTCTTCTTTAGTTCCATAATACAAGCTTGCCAGAATAAGTTACACTTCAGCAGGATAACATGACAGACTTATGGTAAAGTTTAAAGCTCATGCTGGTGTGATTCTTGGAACAAAAAACACTCTTAGCAACCAAATTAGGCTTATCCACTGTAATTTACATAGAACTCTAAATTCTGCCACACTTAGATAATTAGCATTCTAGAGTGACTTAAAAACATAGACGGAGATGTTGTTTGCATGTATGAAAGCCACTCGGATCATTCGGTTTTTCTTGGACTGTTTTTTTATTTTTTTAATTTAAACAACGAGGGCAAATTGCTGCACAAATAAGACGAATAAATGCCTATACATAAACTATAAATTGAGTTGAATGCAGAATATGAATAGGGTCCCACTGAGGCACTTTTTCTTGTTTGTTTCCCCTCTTGGATCCCAGTGTCTCTTTAAGACCCAATTTGACAGTGATATTGGAAAGCCATCATATTTTCTGGTTTAGGGCTTGAATTTGATCCCCTCATGAATTGATGAAAATATGATGCGGAATGGAAGACTCCAGTCATAGCTTCAGGTATAAATCAGCTGGCGGTGAAAAGATTTCCGTAAAATGTGGAAGCACTGGGCCCTCAAGGGTGGCTCTTGGACATCCTTGCCCTAGACGCACCAGATCCCAGCCTCCTTTTTGACATGCCTGTGGTCAGTGCTGGGAAAGCCGTCCTCAGACATGCTTCTGATCCAAAAATCTTGAATGAGACAAAAAACGTCTTATGTCTCTTTATATTTATAATTACTAGGCCAGTGATAGCACAATCCCATCAAGGTCTGAGTGTCATCCCATACAATTGATAACAACCAAACACGAGGCGATGAGGTAAATGGCACGACCATGCTAGGCGATCAATGCACCGATATGCGATCATTCAAGGTCGAATTTGTGTTGTTCAAGCTCATGTTGACAGCAGCAGTTAAAGAAATCATTTATCAGCCGCAAGGCTTTGCTGAAACAGCACTGCCTCTGAAAGTGGGATGAAAGGAATAACACCCCTATGATTAAGGAACAGGGGAAACAGTTTGTGATATTGCCATACCACCTTCAATTAGGGAAATTCAATAAGGGAAGCACTCTGATAGTTCTCAGCTTTTTGAAGTTCCAACCTCATGCCAGTCCTGGTTTCCGCCCGTTCTCTGCACTACGATCGCAATCAGGTCTGAAGTGTGTGGGCTGAGTCGAGGAGATTGTTACCAATTTACGGTGAATGTCAGGTTTCTATAAACATGATCAAACTGTGTAACATATGCCTTTATGTGTGGTTTGGGAAAAAATGTGTCCAGATCCTTTCCTCATTACAAAAACAGTGATGTCACGTGGCATGAAACAAGCTACACAATAAAGTTGCCTATATTTTGTTACCATGAAAACAGCATGATACATACATAAAATATTGTAAATATTTCCTCTTGACGTAGACATCCTAATCAGCTCTTGGGCTTTTTGTTGTAGACTAGTTGATTGGCAACGCTGCATTTTTACAATGTATATTTGACTATGTGTATAGCTTATAGTATTGATTGTGTGGCATATAGATAACAATAAACGTTGTCTGATGATTACGAATGCATTTTTATAATTTGACATCACTGATATTTTAAAGAACTACCTCCACAACAACAGATAAAAAAGTAATTGTTGTATATTGTATATGTTACTATAAGTTACTATATGTCTGTTATCACATATTTGGGGCTCTGATCCAAAGCAGTCAATAATTTTTGAGTAATATTTTCAGTCCTTTCTCAAATTTGAAAATTGGAAATGGTACATTAGCATTTAAGAGGTTGTGTCTTATTTCACCCGCTAGTATATCATTAATACAGTTTTGAGCACTAGGAAGGACCTTGTTCAACTGAACATTGGCATAAACATGACAACGTTTGCATTTAATATAGTGAGCTGCCAGTGCTTACTGATTCTAAGGTGCATTCTGGGAATTTCTAGGGAGCAAACTTTTTAGGGCATTGACGAGAACTGGCTCATAAGGAGCAGATTGAGACACAGCCTAATGATGAAGGTTTGAGAATAGTAAGAATTATTTTAAATAGCAAACCTTCACTCCTCCTGTATGGTTTGTCCATCTCTCTCAATGCTTTCTCATGTATAATTTTATGGAAAATGTTTATGAATGTCGCCTATTATTTAACACGAAAGAACAAAGTTTGTATAAGCCATGCAGAAACTATTTTGATGTTGTTTTAAATCTCAATTATTTATTCAGACTGAAGAAAAGATGAGGGGAAAAAAGGGAATGGGGAAAAAGGTCAGCGAAGTGCATGATATTTTATAAAGCATTGTGGTGGGTCATCCAGTTCGGACTGTTACTCTATCTCGGTTTGTGATATTTAAAACTTGGCTTCAATCAATAACAATGTCTCTGGTTTGCCGCTATTGTGTGCACCCAAGGACATGTTCCTGTAAAGGGGACGCTAAGGAACTTACATTAAGAGACCTTTATTGTGAAATGGTATGGTTGTTACTGGCTCCTTTGTCTTCTACCAGCAACATGATCCTGCTCGGTGTCAATGCGGTTTTGGGCTTTCAGCAGCTGTCTGAAGTTGAACTCTACATACAGGAGTTGAGCTTTGAATCAAATCACTGTTGTGCTCACATTAAAAATGGTTTCCTCTGCAAAAACATCAGGCCTCGCTAGTGTCACAGTAATGACAGTTTCTTTAGTCAGTGAAAGTTTTATGTGTCAATGAAAATGTCTGTGACAGTTCTATAGCGCCACACATTTAACCGTTCAACAGAGCACTTTGCAGTTAGCTTGCTCTGTGGTGTAGTGGTTTACAACTTAACGTTGCTGGTTCGGTTGCAAGACACAAGTCGTGAGCTATCACCATGTTCCCTTGAGCGAGGCACTTAACCTCAGTAAGTGTAAGTGTACAGTAAGTTATTTGGAGTAAAAATGTGTGCTTTTGCTTCACTACTTAAGTACATTCTGCATATCCCTACTAGGTGAAGGTTGCCGATAGTCCTGTATTTCAACAAACTTGCATTTAACATTAAATCCATACGGGATGCAATTTTCATGTATTTTAGCATCTCCCACCAAAACACTAAGGAAAGCTTCAGTATTAGGCTATTGCATTTGAATTGGTTTACTATTCAGTACACATTTGCATACAAGTGTCAGTGTTAAACTATTGCATATTAGAATGTTAAATAGATTACATGCAACGGCAAATATAGACAGTCGGACAATTTCTTGTGTATTTTAATGTTATAATTTGGCTAGGTTGAAGCTAAGTTATTAAAATTCATGTTTTACAACAGATGTGAAATTTGCATCTGAAATGTATTTTAGCACTTCATTTATTTTATATACACATAAATAACGGACCGCTATTTGTGAACAATTGTCACACTTTTTGTACTGAAATCGCAAGTGGCATGTGGTCATGAAATGGAGAGTGTTGGCAAGAGGAGATGTTACTTTAGCATTTTTTGGTGTTATTGGCTGGTAAACCTATCTGTTTTGTGTCTTGCTTTATTGCAGCTAGCTATGGAGCTTATCCCATCTGTAAAGGCTGCTCGGTGTGTTCCAAGGACAACGGGTGTATGAACTGCCAACCCAAGCTCTTCCTGTTCCTGAGGAGGGAGAGGATGAGGCAGTATGGCGAGTGTCTCCATGCCTGTCCATCAGGCTACTATGGCATGCGCGGGACAGAGATCAACATGTGCTCCAGTAAGATCCTACTGTACACTTACTACACTTCCCCACTTACATATACACACATATATACACACACACTGCCTATTTGTAGCACTGGTGTGTGAATCCTAATGCACAAACACGCTAGTTTAACATGGATTTGAGTGAGAGCTTAACTCTGTAAAAACATATTTTTGTCGTCACGTACTGTGAATACTTAAAGTGAAGTAAAACTGCCTTGTATTTGATGTTCAAAATGCTTGTAAACTTGTTATGAGTGAACTGACAAATCTGTTTTTTTTTTTTGTAAAGTTATGACTTTGCATATTGACTTTTTCTGCAGCATTTTCCATGTGCCATTATTGGTTTAAAGGCTTTCTGAAATACTTAGATCATGTAGGTCCCTTAAAACAGGAGGACGTTTATACGATTTCATTAATTGACTAGTTGGCTGTTGGAAGTCACCAATGCTTAGAAACAATAGCAAAATAGGAAAACAAATTTCTTATATTTGTCTGCAGATAGCATTATAATAGTCCTATTGGAATTGTGTATCCCTCTCCTTCCATGCCCTGTATTTTATTACCTTATTTTAACATTTGTGCCTGGCCTGAGACACTCTGGACCTTTGAGGTTAAGTGAAAAGCCTGAGGTGTTGGCTTTGTGTTTCATGTGAAAACAAAACTCTAACCAGTTGGATTGTTAAGCCAAACTCCTCACAGACAGACTTCAAACCTCAGAGGAGTGTGTCAGGACCTACAATACTAATAAACCCAGATGCTGTACAGACAACCCTGTATAATAATGAGTTCTTTTTCACTCAACAAACTTCATACAGATTTATCCGCCAATTTTATCAAAAGAGGAGGAGGGGAAACGTTAAAACGCCTCATTTACCATAAACTGGGTGTACCAGTTGAGGCTATATAGAGTTATAGAGTTTTACCATCCTCGACCGCTAATCAAAATCATCAACCTACATTTTGTAAGTTCTTAAGCTGTGGAAAAAGACATGCCTCCTCACAGACAGACTTAAAACCTCAGAGGAGTGTGTCAGGACCTACAATACTAATAAACCCAGATGCTGTACAGACATCCCTGTATAATAATGAGTTCTTTTTCACTCAACAAACTTCATACAGATTTATCCGCCAATTTTATCAAAAGAGGAGGAGGGGAAACGTTAAAACGCCTCATTTACCATAAACTGGGTGTACCAGTTGAGGCTATATAGAGTTATAGAGTTTTACCATCCTCGACCGCTAATCAAAATCATCAACCTACATTTTGTAAGTTCTTAAGCTGTGGAAAAAGACATGCTGTTTTCTGAGACCGTGTCCTCCAACCATTCATTGTCCTGGGTGAATTTTGATTTTAAATGATACTGATATGTGGCCAGTTAATCTGGATTCCTTTCATGGAGAACTTCTCCCAGAACAAAACCTCACATTGTCACGTAGCATCAGATCTCTGCGCAAAGCCTACTTTGATGTGATCGCTGTTTCAGTCATGACTTTGTAATCCCGCTTCGCATTTGACCCTCTTCCTTGAGTTATGCTTTTTCTGTCGTCTTCGCTAAGCTCCTCGTGTCTGTCAGTCATAATGGGATGTTCTATCAGGGTTAGTGTAAGAACTAATCGTTGGGTCACTGGGAACAATTTCGAACACACAGCAGCCATTCGAAGTCGCTCCGTTTTCTCTCTTGTCCAGGTTTTCAGCGCAACTTCATTCTTTCAAGAGACTGGAATGGTGGATTAAATTGGAGTTGATCATGTTTTTAAAAAACAGGCTCTGAAATCACTTAAGCAGCAGCTGCTTATCATTAGACCCTAAGTGTGTGTGTGATCCTATCTCGTTTAAGAATGCTTTGCAGAATCGTCGGGCCTGAGTGAAAACAAAGGCAAAGAGGAGATAGGTTTGCACTACATCTGTGCAGACTCTTCCGCTGGAGCCGTGGGGTGGGGTCGAGTGCTTTTGAAATCCACTCACCAGATTGAATGCTCTGATCTACCTCTGGTGAGCATCATATGCGTGACTCAAGCATCTCGAATGAGTAGAAGGAGGGCTGGACTGGCTTTCCTCTTCTGTGAGAAGATGAGCCCAGTGTTTGGAACCTACTTTGAAACCAAGCTTACCTTGTTGCCAAGCTACAAGCTACTTGTAAATTAAATGTTAAATATTTAAATATATAATTATAAGTTTATATAATTGACCCTTTGCCGAGAGTTTGATTGACAGACGATCTGACCAATCATAACGCTGAATCTGCTTTTTTGTCTGACAAACAAACCAGACAGGAGTAGATTAACGTTGGTGGACTTGAACTTGAAAAATAGTGTGTATTGACATCTTACCGTGGTTGAAACAAGATACCTTCTGATTAGGGATGCACCGATACCGCCCGATACTGAGCTCCTGTACTCGTACTCGTACTCGTTAAAATGCCCCGATACCAAACGCAGCATATGATAAGCGCCATATTCAGACAAAGAAACACCGACAACAGACAGCAGAATGGAGTTAAGGATGCCTACTACGAAGTATATGTATGTAATGAATATAACGTTAAACATTCAGTATTAACGCCTGTATAGCTGATGTGTGCGAGCTGATAAACAAAGCACGCTGAGTGGATTGAGCGCGCGTCGGCGCAGATGCATGACTTTGTAATCCCGCTTCGCATTTGACCCTCTTCCTTGAGTTATGCTTTTTCTGTCGTCTTCGCTAAGCTCCTCGTGTCTGTCAGTCATAATGGGATGTTCTATCAGGGTTAGTGTAAGAACTAATCGTTGGGTCACTGGGAACAATTTCGAACACACAGCAGCCATTCGAAGTCGCTCCGTTTTCTCTCTTGTCCAGGTTTTCAGCGCAACTTCATTCTTTCAAGAGACTGGAATGGTGGATTAAATTGGAGTTGATCATGTTTTTAAAAAACAGGCTCTGAAATCACTTAAGCAGCAGCTGCTTATCATTAGACCCTAAGTGTGTGTGTGATCCTATCTCGTTTAAGAATGCTTTGCAGAATCGCCGGGCCTGAGTGAAAACAAAGGCAAAGAGGAGATAGGTTTGCACTACATCTGTGCAGACTCTTCCGCTGGAGCCGTGGGGTGGGGTCGAGTGCTTTTGAAATCCACTCACCAGATTGAATGCTCTGATCTACCTCTGGTGAGCATCATATGCGTGACTCAAGCATCTCGAATGAGTAGAAGGAGGGCTGGACTGGCTTTCCTCTTCTGTGAGAAGATGAGCCCAGTGTTTGGAACCTACTTTGAAACCAAGCTTACCTTGTTGCCAAGCTACAAGCTACTTGTAAATTAAATGTTAAATATTTAAATATATAATTATAAGTTTATATAATTGACCCTTTGCCGAGAGTTTGATTGACAGACGATCTGACCAATCATAACGCTGAATCTGCTTTTTTGTCTGACAAACAAACCAGACAGGAGTAGATTAACGTTGGTGGACTTGAACTTGAAAAATAGTGTGTATTGACATCTTACCGTGGTTGAAACAAGATACCTTCTGATTAGGGATGCACCGATACCGCCCGATACTGAGCTCCTGTACTCGTACTCGTACTCGTTAAAATGCCCCGATACCAAACGCAGCATATGATAAGCGCCATATTCAGACAAAGAAACACCGACAACAGACAGCAGAATGGAGTTAAGGATGCCTACTACGAAGTATATGTATGTAATGAATATAACGTTAAACATTCAGTATTAACGCCTGTATAGCTGATGTGTGCGAGCTGATAAACAAAGCACGCTGAGTGGATTGAGCGCGCGTCGGCGCAGATGCGCGAGCTTGTCGAGTGAATTTACCTTTCTCACAGGCATCACTGGAAAGTTTGTAGTTCGGTCGGATATGTAAAAAACATGTAAGTAAAACAATGCACAAGTTACTTAACGGTAGGGAGAGAGAGAGACAGAGAGAGAGAGAGAGCGCTTGCACTTCTGTTGTGTGATCTTTGATGTTCACTTACTTAGCGCACGCATCATTTGGATTAAAACTAAATCGTAAAAATAAGACCATTTATAGGGGCATTCACTATAAACATAATTTATTTTCAACCTTAGGCATACACGACTTTCTGGCGAAAGTGAATCTAGCAGCCTGTGTGAAATGCGCTAGGCTGTACT